AGTACAACTCAGAGAGGAAAAGCTATTACTGACTTGCATGATAATGAAGGTTTTTCTTTACCTGATCTACTTCTGAAAGAATACAATCAGAAATGGCACTTTCAATCTAAGCAGCGCTTTGACAGAAAATGTATACCTTAAAAAGACACATAAAACAGGCCAAAAAAATAAATCCATTTGCTTTCTACTGCACTGTTTGCCCATTTCATTTGCTTAAGCAGAAGACGACATCCTTGCAAGGGGTGCTGTGGGGCACACTGGCTCCATCGGTCACTCCCTGCAGCATTCTTTGGTCCTTGCAAAGCAATATGGGCAGTTCTGACTCACTTCCACCTGCTCTGGCAGAGTATTTCCTCCCACAGAAGGAAGCATAGCCACAGGACAGGGGAAGAAGGGAAGCTGGCTCCAGCTGATTGCAGTGAGGCTGTCCTGCTCTGCAGCTACTGCTCGTCTCACCACAAACCAAGTGGAAGAAACTAACAAACCCAGGTTCCTCATCAGCATGCACTGCTAGTAGGGGTGGTGGCCAAGATGAAAGGCAGTAGAGAAATGTGTGCTTTTACAAATCAGTGGTGGTAACGTTACATATGAATATGTAATACGTAAACATCAGGAGATGGAGCCAAGATGCACTGTAACTGCTGCATGCAACACTGGTGTGGTTATGAAGATCTGAGTGCAGCCACAAGAGTAAGGGATGCTGAAACACGCAGCTCCCTCTCAGCATCCTCAGGGGGAAGACAAGTTTATAACTTTACCATCTAATAGAGTTTTTTGAAACTTTCTATTGAATCGTTTCCCTCTGAAGTTTCTGCAGTTACTCTTAGCTGTGGTGAATATTTCAAAGCAGATGCCACGCTTTTATTTCAATTATTCTTTTTTTCCCCTCTCCCTTGTTTTTCAGGGAATGTCAGTTTTCTGCTCAGAACAGCATACTTCACATTTTCAGATCTGCATTTAAAGAGATACCGCAGGGAAGCCAGTCTGTATGTGCCTGCCGTGCTCCCTGCAGTGCACGATGCTGTGCTGCTCTGCAGGTCCACCACGCAGGCTGCAGCAAGCAGGCACACACGTACCTGTGCCCTGTAACACCTGGGTGCCTTTGGTGTTGTCCCACCATGGGTTTAACCAAAGCAACTCAGTCTGAACATTACCTATATCAGCTGAGGAAGAAACTTGGAATTATCTCACCGACTCCTATCACACCCTTCTTCATACTGATCAGACAAACGATGAACTGACCGATTTAAAAACAACTAAGTATTCTATATTGGTGAATCTGAAGTTTCATGATGAAATTAATGTCATTTGTTGCTTGAAATGAGAGAAAGACACATGAAATATCCGCCTGGGGATCCAGCAAAACAACTGACTTTGAACTCATGAATATTTCCTTGACACCAGTAAGCTCAACAGCAGCCTAGAATTTAACAGAAGCCTATGCCTTTAAAAGAATGGATGGTGATGTAGGTACATATGTTTAAGACTGCATGCCTGAAAATCCTCATTCAGGTTCCCCTTGCCCTGCAGACATGATTGCAAAGTTCAAACTGCTCCAGCCAGAGAGGAATTTGGAATTCATTAAGTAAATTTATAAGCATGATTGGCCCATTTTCATCAATATAAACTCTATTATCTGCTACCACCAGGCAGTTCAAGGACAGATCCCCAACTCCTCAGAAACCAGGACCAGTTGTTCTCCCTTCAAACAGAACAGCCTAAATGATGCCAACCAACTTCATCTTTTGAGGAACTGAAAGCCATCTCAGTTGACAGTTGGACTCAATGATCTTTTCCAACTTAATGATTCCATGCCCAACAGTTGGCTGATGAAGTACACCTACATTTGGCATTTAGAAGTCCCCCTCTCAAGTGACAAAGACTTTGTTCTATGGTCATTCTACAGGTCAAGACTACAGACAGCTTCTAAGAGAAGCGATTCAGTCTGTCAGCTTAATGGGGGAAATAAAGAAAAAAGTAAAACCAGAGATGGGTAGCCATAAAACTCAGTAGATCAAATGCCAAGGAGTAACTAAAAAGAAAGGGGATTTCTATGGAACTGAATGCATAATTAGGGCAGGAAGCACACACTGCTTAATAATCTCATTGTAAAAATTGACTAAAGTTGCACTGTAAGTATGAACTATCTAGAATTGGGAGTTTGAAAATGAAATAGAAAAGAGGTGCTTGCACTGTTAAACACTGGATCACACAAGTCTCAAACAAAAAAGCTTCTCGATTGAAATACCTGCAATGTAGTGCCATTACTTATAAGCTGGAATGTGTTCAGCACCACTGTTCTCCTTGGAATGCAACTGCTCACTGGATTGGGAAATTAAGAGCCAGATCCAGTGAAGTGTTGATCTCTGTCCTCGTAACAAAGCAAAGTCCCCAAACGCTGGACTTTCCATATCACTCAGAAGAGAGGCTTTTAATCATGACACTCCTTCCCTGTCCTACCCATTCAACCTGGAAAGAATAAACCTTACAGAAATTGGAGGATTTGGGTGTTTTTATGCTAGACCTCACAGCACCTTCCAGAACAGGAATCAAGCAGAGCAGCAGGCCTCAGCACGCAGTGTAGCACAAAGGTATTTTCACACAATAAGTTTACAGTCCAACCCTACTGCAAGACAAAGGCACCCTTCAGCAATCATACGTCACTACAGAGTGACGCAGTCCACGCTGCTTTATCCCCTCCCTGACCAGGGGTGTGTGCTGATGTGGCCATGCTGCTACAGAAACCAAGGGGCTTTAAACACTTAAAGCTGCTGCAGATGCAGAATACAGGCAGGAAAAGTGATGAGCTTTGTCTTGACCTGTGCCTGATATGTCCAATGTCACAGGGCAGGCTCCCTCACCACCAGTCCAACAGCCAAGGCAGGTGTGGGACACGACTCCTTCAGCCAGGAGGTGCAGTGAGCAATGCCTGCACCTGCAGGGCCTGGGGAAACCCACCCACAGCAGATGGACATCATCACTTTGATCTGAGCCAAGAGAAGCAAGAGGAAGCAGGTCTGTGCTGCTCCTGATGCTCGGCACCAGGAAGGTGACACACAGCCTGGGGCCACCGACCACCTTTGTAAATCTACTTGTGTGTCAGTTCTCATAACCTGGACTCAAATTCTGCTGACATCCAGCACTGAGCACTTCTGACCAAGGTTTTCCAATCCCTAATTGGAATTACTGTCCTAATTACATATCATGTACTGATACATCCTATTGTGGTTAACACTGTAGGGCAGAAGGTGACCCCATGAAGATCTGAGGTACCCCAGGCCAGCAGCTTCAGCAGGGAGCCTGGCCATGCAGCCCCAGCTCACCTCCAATGTCCTCTGCAGGCAGCACACATGGAATCCAGAGCTGAGCTTCACCTCACCGTCACGGGCTTATTCCCTTGCACTAAATTACAGATGCTAGACAATTCTGAGATAGGAGTGTTAATTATTAATAGAAATTATCTGAATTGATTTTCAATTACAGAATATTTTCTATTACCTTGCAATAAGACTGGAGGAATTCCATTAAATTCAAAATGAGGATCATCAATTACCTTTAAGACGCATGTAAACTAAATACATTACATCTCTGTTGAAGCCAATGATTTCCATTACCTATTTCCATTAATTTCCATTCATTTGAAGTGACTCCATTTCAAATGGGTTTTAACAACTTGATGGCTTATCAGCATTCCGGGCTCTCCAATGTGATGGGGACATAACCCAGCTGCCATCATCTCCTCCTGCACGTTCAGATGCTGAAAACCTGTACAGGACAGTGCTGCAGCAGGCAGCCAACAGGCTCAGCTGTCCAAAGCCTGCTGTGGCTTCTGATGCAGCAGGAAATCTGCCTTTGGAAACACGACGTGTTAAGATTGACAACTTGGGTTTCTTTCTCCTGATTAAAAAGAAAGTCCCCATGACCTTTTTCTCAAGCTGATTTGTGTTTTGACCGTTTCTGTGGTCAAGCTAAACCTGCTGATGCCAGCCAATATTCATTGCTCACAACCACTGAAAGCAGAGATAGGATTTTCCCTGAAATTTGCATAACAATGTACATGTGATACTGCTAAAAGCAAGGTACAGCACAGGAGTGGTTTGCTGACCCAGTGCCAGCCACACAACTCTTTACCTTCCAGATAACACAACGTGGAAAGCTAAGAACTGTGCCTGCCTTTAAATAGGAGATGCTATCTCCTACACACACAATTATGGAGGTTATTTTTCTACGAGTCTGCCTTCACTTGTACCCTAAACAGCACAGTTACAAGTGTAATGCTATAACATCATTTTCATTTCCAAGAATTTCTCCCAGGTTTACCCCAGTAAACAAGACATCTCTCTTCTCAATAAAGGGATGATAAGGCTTTGGGTAAATCACATTTACCCAAATTGCTGCATCACTGCTACTACAGAAGGATCACAGGCTGCAGGTCCCACCCTCATTGATGCTGGGTGGCATCATGGTGGATAAACATCCTCGCCAGTTTAAATAATAACACTTTTTTAAAAAGATAAGAAACATTATCAAAGTCAACTTCTTATTACTTCATTTCACTTCTATGAGCTGGTTTAGGGCCATCCCTGCATTACAGCACAAATCCATCAAAACCTGACACAGGTGCTTCAGACCTCCTCCTGCTCCCAACTCCTGAAGCTGGGCCTGATTTCAGACCACTTCATTTTCACCCTGTGCTCCCAGCACCCCCAAGAGGAGCACAAGCCCTGACAGCCCACAGCTCAACAAGCACAAATCTGCTTCCTTTTTTTTTTTTTTTAAATGAAAAACCTGACCTATACAGCAGAACTCCATATGCTTTCCACATCACAGACACCCAAGCACTTCTGAATACCACTCACCCATTCCCCACATGGATTACATCCATCTTTGAGATAAGATACAGAGCATTGTACGCACCAGTACTAAAATAGTGATTTATCACTGAGCTCTGTGCAGTAAAACAAACAGTGCATTTAAACAAAAAAAGTTTAATACCATCTTGAAGCATGCAATGAGAGAAGCAGCCTATTTCTGTGATGAGCAGCCATACAAACCCTATGCAGGTGGCATGGCACAAGCATCCAGCTGGCCATTGTTTTTTGGTAACATTTTGTTGGTTTTTTTTTCCTGCTGCTTCTGATACTGCTTAAATATTATTTCAATTGTTAAAGGTATTCTTTCAGCATAAAATGGATAGAGCACTCGCATCATAAATACAAAGTTGTCTTTGGTTCAGCTGGGATGGAGTTGTTTTCCTCCAGTGCCTGCACGATGCTGTGCTGTGGTTTTAGGAGCAGTGCTGGTAACACAGCCATGTTCCCAGCTGTCGCTGAGCAGTGCTGCGTGCAGCCAAGGACACTCACTATTCCCCACTGCCCTACAATGGGGCACAAGGGGCCGGGAGGGGATGCAGGGAGGACAGCTGACCCAGCCCAGCCAAAGGGACATTCCGTACTGTGTGACATCGTGGGGAGAGCTTAGAAAGGGGGGGATTCTGCTCTCTTCCTCCTGCTGCTCGGGGTGGGAGGGCAAGCTGGGCATCTGACAGGGATGGTGAGCAACTGTGTGCATCACTTGTTATATACATACATGTACTGTCATCACTGTTAACCTTTACCTTTATCTTAATTAATAGTTTCATCCCAGCCCACAAGTCCTACTGGGTTTTTTCCCCCTGATTCTCTGCCCCTCCTGCTGGGAAGAGGAAGCAAGCAGCTGTGTTGGTGGGTGCTGAGCCACCCACCAGGTTAAACCACAACAAAAGTCAACAGATTAAAGCCCCAAATACTGTAAAAAATCTCCCACAAGAGTCATATAAGTGATATCTCGTTTGGCTACAGAAGGCAACTTGTCAATCAACAAAGAACATTGCCATTGCTTACTAAACCATGATGTACCTACAGCGCAGTGAGTCCCTACCATGTCAGGTACTCTGATCAACATAAGTCACAATTCATCCATCACAGGAGTCAGTGTCTGAAATAAAACAATCCCAAGCTAATGAAGTAGAAGGATCACTAGAATTAGTTATATTGCATCAGAGTAAAAAATAACCCTGCAGAAGGGCTCACTCCTTCCCCCCCCCTTCCCTCCCCACAGGCCTTTATCATTTTTTCTTCTTCTTCTTTGTATGTAGGAAGAAGAGTTCTGTAATGACTGGGAGCAGATGGGGAGGATCCATGCACCCTATTCTGAACTGCATTCCCTGATGCAGCACCAGCTGGGAGCACCCCAGTGGGCAGCAGGGACCGTGCTGCCTTCCATGCGACTCCAATAATCGCTAATCATTTTGAATTGAGGTTTACTGGACTCACACCTTGCTCGCATAGCCTCAGAGCTGAGGTCTCCTGGCACGTTCAGAGCCGGCGTGGGAGGAGAAAGCTGGAGGGGACAGACAGACAGAGAGCAGGGGGAGGAAAAGGAAGGCAGGAAGGCACCAGCAATAGGGACACAGGAAACAGAGGTGCCTCAAATCCTGCAGATTATTCAAGATGGGATGGACTGATAAAAGTTTCTCTCTATGTAATACTCATATTATTCTAAGAACCTACAAATCTAGAATTCCTGACAGACAGCAGGTATTACACACCTTAGAAGGTGCACTTCTAGATTTGCAACCGTATCCCATTTTGCAGAAACCGATTCTATTTCCTACATAGCATTAAACAAAGTTTTAAAACCCTTTAGAAAAAGAGCATTTTCTGCTACAAAAGTTTAAGCCAAGTTAGCCATTAGTGATTTCCTATCCTTGAGAAATTGTATGGTTTCTTCAGATGGGCTGTAATAACTTCTGGACAACATCCCTGATCCACTCAGAAACACCTGGGAATTCAATAGGCATCAGTAGGCAGAGTCCAATTGATTTTGGAGAAAGCCAGGACAGGAAAGAAGTAAATGAGCCACATATTACCTTCTTCATCTGTTTAGCATATTAACTTCCTCCAGCATCTATATCATTAAACAGTTGATGGCAGCTTTACAGAAGAAGCGAAAACCAACCCAGCTCAAACTGCCACCTCAAATGCCTCACCTACCATACAGAATGTAATGGGAACAGAACCAGGGAGGGGATGAGGAAGGGCAGACTGGGGCCAGGGCAGGCAGGGGGATGAGGATGGGGCTGGGACAGTTCCCCGGGAAGCACCTGAGATGCTGACACTGTGGGAATATACAACTGGTAAGACTTCATTCAGCACTTCTACAGTGCTATCTGAAAGAGCTGCCAGCAGAACATGAAAGAAATGCATGATGTCCAATGTCTGCTTCACTCACAAAATCAGCACTGCTTGAAGTACTACAGTTTGTCTTTCTTTGCTTTGGCACAGTTGTTTTCTGAGAAGTTTTATTCCTCGACAGAAGAAATAATTGCAAAATTCTCATTTGCTTGCTTTGATGTGAATTTAGCACTGCAATAAAGGCATTTGTTTATCAAGTTTCCACTGATCATAAAATGCTTTCCAATGAATGATAAGCATAAGGAGCCCTCACACTCCAGCCCAAACAGTCAAATGCCTTTAGGTGTACAGCACTTACATCATCTGCATTGACCTGAAGATGTTCTACAGGAGGAATGCATGATTCTGAATGGGCACCAACTTGCAAGACAACGTATGGAAGGGCACATCACCCAAGCATGCTCTGCGCCCCTTTCCAAAGCCTCCAGCTGTCACAGCCATCCTTCTCACCCCACCTCTGCTATGCACTGTTCACACAGGTGAAGCTCCTTCCCTGCACAGCCTGGAGTTGGTCCTGCTGGCTCCTGCTGCCAGAGCATCCCTGCCATGACACAGATGGCCCTTAAACACTAACAACGATCTACTAATGGCTCTACGGGGTTAATTAACTGTTTATTTTTTGGAGATAATAGAATTTTCAACGAGGAACATCAGCATTATCTTTAGTGCCACCTCTTCAAAAGGGAGAATACAGGGTAATTGGTACTGCTATGCATTGCCTATTATGCATAAAATTAAGGGAGGGAATTTACACAGTGATTACTATTGGTACTTTATTACTTCAAATTCATATATAGATTGCACACAACGGGTGTGCAGGAAACCCCGTTTCTGTCTCTTAGTATTAAATCCATATATTCTGCTAGAACATCCTTGTCCATTATTCCAGTACTTTTTTTTCCTTCCTCCCAGACCTTGAGAAAACGTGATACCAAATGCTTTACATATCATGTTTATTAGAATATCATAGAACGGCCTGGGTTGCAAAGGTCCAAATGCTCATCCAGTTCCAACCCCCTGCTATGTGCAGGTCGCCAACCAGCAGCCCAGGCTGCCCAGAGCCACATCCAGCCTGGCCTTGAGTGCCTGCAGGGATGGGGCATCCACAGCCTCCTTGGGCAACCTGTTCCAGTGCCTCACCACCCTTTGGTGGAAAAGCTTCCTCCTCATATCCAACCTAAACCTTCCCTGTTTCAGTTTAAGACCATCCCCCCTTGTCCTTCCCTATGAATTCCTTCTCTATGAATTCTGGAATCTGAACACTACAGTTAAGACAAAGCAGGTGTGAGAGCCTGGAATGATCCCATCCTCAGCAAGTGGCATCGCCATGGGAAAGCACAGCTGAGAGGAAAAACGGAGAGAAGTCATTTTCTCATTCAGTGCTCTGGGAACTGAGTGCATCACCAGCCATCCTTTACTGGTAGGATCTTGGCACTGGGACTACAGTTACTGGCATTCCCCTGTACCCACTGTCTTTTAAGAAAATCGGAGTTTTCTTATGAAAAGCACAAGCCTAGCTTAGTTTCTGCTGTGCACACACACTGAAAGCCCAAACTTTTTAGCAGAAACAAACCCAAAAAATAGTGGCAAAAAGAAGTCTTCAGCTTTGCAACGGGCAGAGCAGCAGCAGAGGAGAAACAGCAGCAGTGCAGCCACAAAGCACAGCTCTGCCCCTACACCACCCCACACCCTGGTGCCTGAAGATGCTGCTTTCTCCCGAACGCATCCAGGTTTATGGACTCCTTTTTCCATAAGATGCAATAACAGGAAACCTGAATGTGATTTATTTTTTTCCTTCAGAAAGCTGATTTTTCCACGCTTGGCCTAACACAACAGAGCTTACATCAATATCCATTACTGCAGCAGCAGCCTTGCCATAGGTATGGCAACCTGCAGCCGTAACTCACCCAACAGTGACAGATACTGCACAGTTAGTGCTGCCTCTGACTTGGCACTGCCAGCCTCCCTGTGACCCTGGAGCATCCAAAATCCAAATATTGCCCTGGTCCAATCATTTATCTTTTTTTTCCCTAGGACCTAGAAAGGCTATTTTGACAAGGTGGGAAATAAATGGGGTGGGCATTCTTTCCAAACCAGATTTTCTGCAGTTTCTCAGACAAGACAGAGGATGCAGATATCTCTTCTCCCCCTCCCTCCCTCCAATTAAAGGTGAATACACTCAGCAGCTGATTGCAGACTTCTTAGCTCATGGTTCCCCCACACACCTGCAGTGCCAAGCACCCCATGCTTGCAAAGTGCCCATCGCACAGCAGCTGCCTCCTCTCCCCCATGCCTATTGGCAGAGCAGAGGCACTTGTTGCACCTGCACATGGGCTAACAGATAGACAGATGTGAAGTTTCTTTGGAGCAAATTCTGTTCCCAATTGCAACATTCGGGAGAAGTATTACAGCCACTTACCAAGCAAAAGCAAGTCAAATATTTGCAAATCATTTCACTCCTCCCTTCGTTTAAAGCTTTATGCATTCTTCTCATCTTTGTCCCCTAACAACAAAGTCAGCAATGAAGCTACACAATCATGTTGAGCGCCTTGTAACTAAAACTAAATGGCCCCAAATTTAAGTATTAGTGGCGCACATTTTTTTCCTATGACTCATCAAATGTCTTACCCTTCTGCAGCACAGGAGATCAGTGAGTTCTAATTGCTCCACAGCCCCATTTTTCTTTTATGAACAGACACTCCATCCCAGGTGGTCTAGAAGCAGCTAATTAAATCTCTACATCCCCACCCCCTCACAGAGCTCACTGCAGGTCCGAGGCCAGCCCCTCTCTGCACTCAGGACATCACTGCTCCTCCTCCCTGACAAGCACTGAATGCTGATGGCACCAAGGAGGTTGCTTGCTTCTGCTGGTCTTTACTTTCTCATCACTGTTTATTTCTCTTCTTTGGTATCTGCTCATTTGCTCAACTCTTTGATGTTTTTAATCATATATCAAAGTCTCTTTTGCTAATCTCCTATTGAAAGACGGGCTCCTTTTGCCATTATGCATAATTAACTTGCTGGTGCCAGCTGCCTAATGGACAAGTTTCTGTATTCTCCTTTGAGTTAGCCTAGAAGATAGCTACTGTTACTGTTGACCCTAATTAACAGTGTGCCTTATTAAGTAGGTGGTGTTGTACCATCCTTACATTTGAATTTCACAATATTAGTATTACCACATCCTTCACGTGATTACAATACAGGAACTGTCAGCTAAATCTGTATCACCAATAAACAGCAGCCTAGGGAAACATGCACAAAGCTAAGTGTGTCACTGCAAATCTTTCCAGAAATTTCCCCCATCAGATCCTCACCAATCCTCATCTGCGCAGCCACTTGCGGTAGATTCATTTGGGGTTTGTGCCAACGCACTGGAGAGCCCTGTAATCCCTTGTCATGAATATGAAGGATTTCACCCAGCCTATTAATAAGCGGAATTACAGATAGTCGGGGAGTAAATCATCCACCGTTTTCAGTCACATCAACAATAGATTGAGAAAAATTACTCATTCATTTTTATAATCCTTTAATTCTTGCAGATGTTCCTTTGAAAATTGATTTAGATTGATGAATCACGGGGCAAGATTGGTGTAAATTTTTCAAGCTGAAGACAATTGCCTTCGATAGAGTAATCACAGCACACATCCCTGTACCTCCTATAACTCATCGGTTCTCAATGTTTAATGCCACTGCAATTCTGGAGCCAGCTCCTGAGGCAACAAGAGCAAACGGTTTGTAATTAGATGAAACCCAGCCTGCTCTGATAGATTTTCTCCCTCCCCTGTTCCTCAGATAGAGGAGGAAGGCAAGATAAAGAAACAAATTCACCCTGATTTGGGCAAGTACTCAAAGAAGGTTGGAGGAATCAGGAAGGGAAGCAGTGGCAGCCTTGCCCTGCCCAACCTGGGGACACTGCAGCAACACCCACATCTTTGTGCCATAACTTCAGCAGAAAGACTGAAAGAGCTCCAGGTTCATGCCAGCACAAACTGCATGGCAGAACTTGGTATCAGCCAGAGGGAAAGCAACACACCTTCTAGTTCCTGACATGGTTTGGTTCTGCAAAGAAAATCAGGAGGGAGCTCACCCACTTCAGAGCATTGCTAGTCAGCTGCTTCAGAAACTTCATCTGCATGGAGTAATTCACAAGATAAACTAAACTAAACCCCTGACATGATCGTAATCACTTATTCTGTGGCTAGAAAGGATGATGCGGAGCTGCCAGCTAAGCCAGGAAAATCTCTCATGCAGTAACAGAAGAACACAGATCTTTGTCGTCTGTGCCCCACGGAGTTACTGGACTGAGTCCATGCAATAGTGAAAGGCAACAGGAAAAGAATATTTACAGATACATATAAAAACATCTTAGAATCTCATTTGATCAAGTTTCAGTCTTTATCTTGTTTCCACAGGGGCAGTGCCACAAGAGTGTGATTGCTGTGCAATAGCAAGGAAGCCCTTTCCATACCTAAATGCAATCCGACCAGGAGCACGAGCAGACGCACAGCTTGCCACAAGCAGAGAAGCTGAGTTTGGCACATGTGATACTGCTGTTGGGTACAGGACATCTCCAAACGCTGCGCTTGCTTTTGAACACTGCACATGAAGAATGAGCAAGGCTCCTACCTGAGGCAGACTGACATTGGAGCAGCGCTAAGGCCAATTTGCTAATGCCTATGCACATTAAAGGAAATCAGCAGCAGCTCTGTCCCTTTGGGGATGCCACTGCCCACACCCCTGCAGGAGACCAGCCCCACATCACTGCCAGCAGCACAATGCCACGCCATGAGCTGTAAGTTGGGTAGAAATGGATTCCCTTGGAACAACAATAACTTGGTGGAACAAGGAGAGAGCCACTCCTCATCCCTGGGGGAGCAGAGAGGTAGCTGTCTGCATGGGCACAGCAGCCTCTGCTCCCTCAGCCTCACCTGGATCATAGAATGGCCCGGGTTGAAAAGGAACACAATGATCATCCATCTCAACCCCCTGCTATGTGCAGGATCACCAACCACCAGACCCAGAGCCACATCCAACCTGACCTTGAATGCCTCCAGGGATGGGGCATCCACAACCTCCTTGGGCAACCTGTTCGAGTGTGTGACACGTGGAGTGGGGTCACAGAACATCAGAGCACCCCTTTGCTGAAGCACAAACCTGGGCTGCACCTGCAGTGACAGCAGGTCCTGGTAGCAGTGCACCTGCACAGAGCCCCTGCAGCCACAGACAGACGGACACAGGCAGTCCCACCGCAGTCATGCAGCTCCCACATCACTTCTGAAGGCACCACCTTACTGCTGAATTCCAGCTGCTGTTTGGTTTGCCAAAGAATGCCTTTAGGGCTGCTTAAGCGCGTGGATAATGTGTGTGCTGCAGTAATTGTTTCTTTTTCTGGGGGTTAAAAAAGCTCCATTATTCTTGTAGATGACAATGCCTTCAGTGTAAGGACACGATGCAGCTCCCAAACGAGGAGAGCTCTGTCAAAGCAGTGAGTGATGATTGTTTTCAGTGGTTCTCTTCCCCTGCAATTGTTTTTAATAAGTAAAAAGTTCCTAGGGGGCCACAGTTTTTTTTCTTCTCCCAGCAGAGCGTGGGCAATTGTGCTGGATATCAGTAATAAAGCAGCTTCTCATCCATCTGAAAATAACACGACACCGAGGGCTCATTCAACAACGCAATTTTAACAAACAA